TGTGCATCAGTGCATGCTCTTGTCTGTTGGGTGCTGACGATCATTTTTTTTAAACTGACTATAATCTCATTACTCAACGGTTAACAAATCGTTAGCAACAATTACATGAACACTTTTAGAGATGGAACTCATGACTTGTTCCTATTACATAAATGACCGAACACGGCCAGCTCATGAGCGGCTTTGTTACAATCCCTACTCTTAAAAGGGCACTCGAAACTAATAAAACAAGAAGACACTATAGACTTTATCTCCACAATTAAAACACCCACTATAGTCTCATCATAATCATTTGTGTTTAGCGCCTGAACCACCATCTTTGCGTCTGTCTCCACGATTAGCCGGCCAATACCCAAATCAACTACAGCTTGTATTCCTTGGAGGCAGGCAATGAGTTCAGCTTGGAATGCATTTAAGAGACACTCTATCTTCCCTCTTCTGATAGTATCACATCCCCATCACAGTCTCGGATCTAATAGCCCCAACTCCCTTCCAGTGAATTCGGCAAAAAAAGATCCATCACAATTAAGCTTTAAAAAGCCCTGTGGGGGTTTCCTCCAATATTCCTTTCTTCGGTGCACACTGTTGCCCGTCAAACTGTTATCGATCACAATTGCAGTGTTCTCTTCTGCATATGATCGGATACATCGAGCAAGCAAATCTGCTCCTCTTCTCTGACTTTTTTCTCTAATTATATTTCTCTCCTGCCAAATATACCACATGGTGATAATCATCAGCAGCTTTTGTTCTTCCTTAGCCTTCAGAATTAGTTCGACTGTGTCCTTGACCAACACAGTAGTCGCCAACTCCAGCCTAAAACTCTCCAGGTTTAGATTCCTCTAGACCTCTTTGGCAAGGCAGCACTTAAAAAATAAATGTCCACCATCTTCATATGCTGAATCACAAACTGTGCATCTTGTTTCAATTCTCATCCCACGCTGCACCAGATTTCTCATCAAAGGGTGACTATTATGAGCCAAGCGCCAGAAAAAATATTTTACCTTGCCTAGGATTTTCAGCTTCTAGATTGCTTTCAAAATAAAATCAGATGCATTTCCACTGCCACCTTGTGCCCCCCCCCTCGGCTCCTTTCACGCAACAGATCAGCTCTACAAACTTTGTAAGCATTCTTGAGACTAAATCGCCCATGATTATCATAGGGCCATGCAATTAAATTGTCCCTGCCTTCATGGACGGGAAGAGCCAAAATTACCTTGACGTCTTCTTCCCAAAAAATTCTCTTCACCAATTCCACATCCCAGTCCCAAGAGCTCGGATTTATCAGCTCCGAAACATAAGTTAGAAGACATGCCCCTCTAGGAGTAATTGGCCTTCTGAATACACCTCTCGGCAACCAAGGATCTTGCCAAATATGCATGTTATTAGATATTACCATCACCAACACGCCAAATCATGCCCTTCTTTATTACCTCCAACCCTCGGAGAATCTACGCCAAGTGTAAGACATATTCGACTTTGGCATAGCATCTAACACCGAAGAATTTGCAAAGTATTTGGCTTTCAAAACTTGAGCACAAAGAGTCTGGGTTTTTCAGCAGCCGCCGACTTTGCTTTGCAAGCATAGCAAGATTAAAGGCATGTATGTCTCGAAATCCCAAACCACCGTCCTCCTTGGGTAACATAAGCTGATCCCCACTTAACCAATGAATCTTGTTCTTATCAACCTGTTGGTTCCACCAAAAGCGACAAATCATAGCACTTATCTGATCACGCAAAGATTTAGAGAGATCAAAACATCCCATAGCAAAGGTTAGTATCGCCTGGGCCACTGCCTTGACTAAAATCTCCTTGCCTGCCCATGAATTTTTTTTTCTCATTCCACCCTTGCATCCTTTTCCAAATCCTCTCTTTCAGGTATGCAAAAATACCCGTCTTGGAGTGTCCCACATGTACCAGCAACCCCAAATATCTCTCACTCATTGTTTCTTTTGTGACCTGCAAAATCTTAGACACCACTTGTTTCTGTTGAAGCTTTGTATTCTTACTGAAAAGCACTGCTGATTTCACCTTGTTTATCATTTGCCCTGAACATTGTTCATACAATTGTAGTATTGTCTGTGGCTGCCTACTATCCCCTTCGGTCGCACGAATCAAAATTAATGAGTCATCGGCGAACAAAAGGTGAGATATACTTGGCGCACTGTGACAGATTTTAACCCCCCCCCCTAGAGAACCATCACACTCTCCCTCTTTCAATAGGGCGGAAAAAGCTTCAGCACACAATAAAATAGGTAGGGTGATAACGGGTCCCCTTGTCTCAAACCTTGCTGTGGGACAAAAATATCAGACAAATCTCCATTCACCTTTACCCTATACTTCACTGTCGACACACATTCCATGATAAGACCTATCCAAGAATCATGAAAACCCAACCTTTTCATCATTTTCTCCGGGAAACACCACTCTACTCGGTCATACGCTTTACTCATATCAAGTTTTAGAGCTGCATACGTACCCCAATTCACCTTCTCTTTTATTTAGCAGATAATGAGTGAGTTCATATGCGATAAGGATATTCGTCCTGTTCGTTTGGCTTATAAGCCATACTTTTTCAGCCAACGAACAGTATTTTTCTCTAACAACAAATCAGCCAACAGTACTTTCAGTCATGGCTTATCAGCCAAACGAACAGGGCAATTATCTAAAATCAAACGCCCCGGCCCAAAAGCACTCTGATTTGGAGTAATAATTGCAGGCAACACCTCTCTCAATCTATTTGATAAAACTTTGGAAACTACCTTGTAGACGACGTTGTATAGACTGACCGGTCTCAAATCTGTGACCCGCTCCGGCTTCTCAGTCTTTGGGATCAAAGCTATGGTCATCTCATTCCAACTTGCAGGGATCCGGCCACCTTTCAACACCTCCATGACCTCCCTAGTCAGCCAAACACCGACCACATTCCAAAAGGTTTTGTAGAAAACGGTCGGAAGACCATCTGGACCAGGCGGCTTCAAATCCCCGATGGCAAAAAGATGCTGCTTTATTTCCTCCTCGATAAACTCTGACATGAGTTGGGCATTCATGGCCGGTGTGACACGAGGCTGAACAGCACTGATTAGGCGCTGCAATTGCCCCTCGTCTGTCGACACCGAGGTACTGAAAAGCTGCAGAAAATAGTTAGAAATAAAATCTTTATTTTCACCTTCCTCCACCCAACTCCCATCCTCCCTCAACATTCTCCCAATTCTATTTCTTCTCTTCCTAACAGAGCAAGTCGTTATGGAAATACTTAGTATTTCGATCACCAAAACGAAACCAATTAACATGTGCTCGCTGCTTTCAATATGTATCTATCTGCTCTTCTAACCTATCCACTTTAAAACTACAAACCGCTTCCCTCCCCACAGCTAGATCACTAATCGGCTCTCTTCTCAATCTCTCCAACTCCTTTGCTTTTCTCAATCTTTTTTCTAGATCTCCAAGAACATTTGTACTCCAATCTTCCAGACTCGTAGCAGGTCATGGTTTGGAAGCCTAAGTGCCCAATATTTATTTTTGGCCGGTTAGCTAAGGTTTAGCCAGTTTAATGAACCGGCCTATTAGTTAAATAAAGGGAAACAACTGATTAGGTCATTAGGTTCCCATGCTCCATGTAAAATAGACTTTATGCCATTTTTATAAGGATGCCAGGTAAGCGAAAAAATATATGATCCAAGCGTGACAGTTGATTAGGTCATCAGGTTCCTTGTGGTCAAAATCATCCATCTAGGTTCAACTTATACGGATAATTGTAATTTTTATAAATTTATTTTAAGATTTAACGATATTAATTTTTTAGTGACGGACAATGTCTATTGACAAATAACGAGATATCTATGATGACTTCGTCGAAAACACATGTATCTACATCTTACTCCCTCCTTCCCAAACTAGAAGTCACTATGGATGCGTGCAGGTCAAACTTTCTCAACTTTGACTAGATTTATATAAAATGTGTGCAACATTTATATCTCAAAATAAATTTATTATGAAGGCATATTCAATAATCTACCTAATAAAATTAATTATGTATTATAAATATTAATAATTTTATATATATTTGATCAAAGTTAAAAGTATTTGACTTCTCGAAAAAGCGAGAATGGTATTTATTTTGGAACGGATGGAGTATTATACAGCTCGAGGTCGAGGCGTCTGCTGCTTTTTCTAGTTTTCTTGTTCAGCTTTTCACTCTCAGCACGCATGTGCTGCCATGCCAGAGTGTTGGGTGAGCTGAGTTGCATGTGACAGTCGTGGAGCTTCCAAATGAAAACATCTGATGGTTTCACAAATTGTAAATCTTCTCCCAGGCCGGAGCTAGTGTTCTGTACTTGGATTGTCTGTTTTGTGAGAACTGTTCTCCAATGAAAAATTTGGACTGAGTGCCTCTGTTTTCGAGAGAATTCAATAATTTGGACTGGTGCCTCTTTCATTCAGTTTTATTTCTTTTCTTTTGGGGTCTATGTATAGTTTGGATTGGATGGACATGGACTGAGTAAGCCGCTAGTACAAGAACTTCTGTTGTGTCTTGCAACCTGACTAAAGTGGGTACCTCTATAATAACAAGCAATTTATGTGCAATCGCGTACATCCTAATCACATACCCACATACGTACAAAACTAACACAATCACAGTTGCACATTCGTGGGTACCGACGATTTGAGTCCCAAAAAAGGGGGAGGGGGGAACAAGAGATCATCTCGCCATTGGAGCACGATTATACATCCATTGGTACTGCCGATCTGGAAAAAGGAAAAAATATTTTAAAAAACAAAACTAAAGACGCCGTTGCCGGGGATCGAACCCGGGTCGTCTGCATGACAGGCGGAAATACTCACCACTATACTACAACGACTTTGATGCAAGGCGTTTCCGTGCCAGTCTAAAGGCGGTTTAAATCGAGAGAGGTAATCAAAGGAGGAAGCCGAATCGTATTCGAACCCGGACGCTTTTACATCCCACGCCTACAAATACGAACAACGACACCATCGAGAACATGGAGCGCGCGTGCGATGACGAGCTGGTGGATCGGTGCGACGAATGCGGCGGCGTCCTGGAAGCCTGGGACGACGAGTCCTTCGTCATATACGACTGCTTCCACGCGCTGCACGCCGGCTGCGCCCACGGGCGCGACGCCTGCCCGCGCTGCCACACGCCGCGGGTACACGACGACGACGACCAGCCGGAACAGATCGAAGCGGCCCCCGCCTCGACGCCGGACAACAAAGATGAGGACTCGGCGTTGGCGAGCGATGGCGTCGTGGGCATGGGCAACGACGACGACCGCCCCGGCGGCGGCGAGAGCCCCGCCTCCATGTCGGTGTCCGGGTGCAACCACGCCTCGCGCCTCGGCTGCTGCGCCTGTTGCTCCCGCCGAGTTGCCGAGCTGGAGAGCCGTCTCCAGGAGAAGAGCGCTGCTCTGACCGAGACCACCAACGTCTTGGAGTTGGAGCTGGAGAGAGCCCAGAGTCGCCTCTGTAGACTCGAGGAGATGTACGACAAGTTGGAGGAGGAGTTCATCCGTCTGCGTGATGGAAAGAGGGCGAGAGAAATCGAGGACGCCCAAGAAAGGAAGAAGCCGCGGAACGGCGGAAGGAGCGCTTCAAGTTTCCCACAGGACCAGACTGACTGAACCTCGCCGCTTGTTCCATGCAGGAGTTTTCAGCTTTCAGTTTTCACCGATGAAAAGTGCACCCCTGACATAGTTCAGGCAGCCCAATTCGTCTCGCTCGGCCTCTCGAGTATCTTCGCCGATCCTAGTAATCATGTCATAGTTCTCATAGAAACGGCACATAGAATCGAGTCATGTGTGATATGAATCGTCATGAGTCTTGAGTCATGTCAGAAAGCAGTTGAACCGTAATAATCAGTCAGTATCTTTCTGATGAGCTGATGATCAGAGGTGTGCATGAGTTGGAGCACCATGAGCATGCCATGACAAGCCAGAAGTTTGAGGTGTACATTTAGGTTTACTTAGGCTAGGTCAATTGAACTATGAACATTTTAAGACAGATTAAGAGATAATACAAAAGATGCATATAGCCTTACCGATACCTATGAATGTTGTATATAGCTGCATTATCTAACAAATTCAACACAAGACAAGCTGAGCCAAGTAGCACAGCGAAAGATACCAAAACATAGAAAACATCTAATATCGGATTGACAATTCCATGATCTAGAAGTAATCAAGTCCACAGTTAAAACTAATCTCACAGTTTCGCAGCAGCATCACACCATCAACACAAATAACCTAAGGGCACCGCAAGCATCAGATTAAGAGCAACAGTAATAACACCACAACCCACATGGGCCGGTGGCTTAGGCAGCCACCTCTTCCTCCTCATCCTCGTACTCGTACTCCTCTTCGTCGTCCGCCGTGGCGTCCTGGTACTGCTGGTACTCAGCCACCAGGTCGTTCATGTTGCTCTCAGCCTCGGTGAACTCCATCTCGTCCATGCCCTCCCCGGTGTACCAGTGCAAGAAAGCCTTGCGCCGGAACATGGCCGTGAACTGCTCGCTCACACGCCTGAACATCTCCTGGATCGAGGTGGAGTTGCCGATGAATGTGGACGCCATCTTCAGGCCCTTGGGAGGGATGTCACACACGCTCGACTTCACGTTGTTCGGGATCCACTCCACGAAGTAGGACGAGTTCTTGTTCTGCACATTCAGCATCTGCTCGTCCACCTCCTTGGTGCTCATCTTCCCACGGAACAAGGCTGATGCTGTCAGGTAGCGCCCGTGTCGTGGGTCAGCTGCGCACATCATGTTCTTGGCATCCCACATCTGCTGGGTCAGCTCGGGGACGGTGAGGGCACGGTACTGCTGGGACCCCCTTGATGTCAGTGGTGCAAAGCCAACCATGAAGAAATGGAGGCGAGGGAAGGGTATCAAGTTGACTGCAAGCTTCCGGAGGTCAGAGTTCAGCTGGCCTGGGAACCGCAGGCAGCAGGTAACACCACTCATGGTTGCAGAGATGAGATGGTTCAGGTCACCAACTGGAAAAACATAAAAAAGGCAAGATTCAGATTTATATCGAAATGGCAGAAACAAATGCAAGAAACAAGGCGCAAGGCAGAGAATCATGAAATGGTCATCTCAGGGCATCATTGTATTCTGTAATGCAAAGCAAACTTAAGAACAGATAGTACAGTGTCAAAATGCTAGTGAGATGCATGTGCCCGACATACACATTAATTCAATCAAGTGCATGATTGCAATAAATATGCAGCAATGGCAGACAAGGACCAATGTGCCCTGTTCGCTTGGCTGATAAGACATGGCTAAAAGTACTATTGACTGATTTGTTGTGAGAGAAAAATACTGTTCGTTGGCTGAAAAAGTACGGCTTATAAGCCAAGCGAACAGGGCGCATGTAATTCATTGTAGCATCACAAGACACATCCAAGAGATAGATTTGTGTCACAGGATTTCACACGAAGATGACTACAATCCACTCTTTGCACCAAGATATGAAATCAATGATCAATAAATACTAAAGCTGTGGGTGCAGTGACTGAGCAAAGTAGCAATACAAACTTACAAGTTGGTGTAGCAAGCTTCAGAGTGCGGAAGCAGATGTCGTAAAGAGCTTCATTGTCAAGGACCATACACTCATCAGCATTCTCAACAAGTTGATGAACTGAGAGTGTAGCATTGTAAGGTTCTACCACGGTATCAGACACCTTAGGTGATGGGAAAACTGAGAATGTCAGCATCATCCTATCTGGGTACTCTTCCCTGATTTTTGAGATGAGCAGGGTGCCCATCCCAGAGCCAGTACCTCCACCCAATGAATGGCAAACCTGAAATCCTGCAGAATAGAAGATAAAAATTATTTCACATACAATTTCACAAGTGAAGCATAATTCAAACGGACAAAAGCATTTTTTACACAAAATATCCAATAACCGAGATTCTAGTTGCTATGTAGATAATAAGATGACATCAAGATGGACAAACCTAGCAAAATGCAACACCCTAACATGAACCACAAGCAGATATCCTCCAGTAACCACTAGCCAAGATGAGTTGTAAGCTACGTTACTAGCCTGACAGATGAATTTTCTCACAGCCATTTGCATCGATTTTCATACACAACAGAACACAAATAACATAGAAGTCCAGCACAGCCAAAGTAAAGAAAATTGGTTAATAACATCTCTAAAGTTAAATCATCAGTTATATAAGGTCATCTCTCACAAGTTAAATGACTCAATAAATACTTCACAGTTACTAGTAGTACGAAAGGGCCAAAGACCAAAACAGGCACTGGCCAAATTTGTGGCGAAGGACCATAACAATAAAGTCTAACCATGCCTTCCTCCCCTAACGTTTATGTTTGGACACATGCATGGAGTATTAAATATAGACTAAAAAATAACTAATTACACAAATTGCGACTACTTTGCGAGACGAATTTTTTAAGCCTAATTAGTCCATGATTTGACAACGTGGTGCTACAGTAAACGTATGCTAATAACGGATTAATTAGGCTTAATAAATTCGTCTCGCGGATTACTAAGGACTTGTGTAATTTGTTTTATTATTACTATCCGAACACTCCCAACACTCCCATGTGACACCCCCACATGACACACGATGTGACACCTCTAAACTTTATCTCCAGGATTTAAACACCACCTGAAGGCGTCAATTGAACAAATTTGCTGCTACTACCAGAACCACTCGGGCAATTAAGGAGTCACTGGATCTCCGTACTTTGAACCGCATAAACAATGATTAGGGGAAACCGAACCAAGCATTTCATCCAAGTAACCGCATAAATAGAATGCATACTCGAAAATGTCGAGGAAAACGCCCAGATCTACATAGGTTTCAATGCAAGCCAACAAATCGGCTAGATCTACGAGCCGCGAACCACAACATCGTAACATGTCATTCGAACTATAGAAACCTAACTATAGAAACTACACTAGATCCGCAGGCTGACGACCCCCAGACCGCGACCAAATTACCAGCATTTCTAACAGAAGGCCCAGATCTACGAGGACGACGACAGACAGTACCTTGGAGGCAGTCGCAGTTCTCGGCCTCCTTGCGGACGACGTCGAGCACGGAGTCGATGAGCTCGGCGCCCTCGGTGTAGTGGCCCTTGGCCCAGTTGTTGCCGGCGCCGGACTGGCCGAAGACGAAGTTGTCGGGGCGGAAGATCTGGCCGTAGGGCCCGGAGCGCACGGAGTCCATGGTGCCGGGCTCGAGGTCCATGAGCACGGCGCGCGGGACGTACCGGCCCCCGCTGGCCTCGTTGTAGTAGACGTTGATGCGCTCGAGCTGGAGGTCGGAGTCGCCGGCGTACTTGCCCGTGTGGTCGATGCCGTGCTCGTCGCAGATCACCTCCCAGAACTTGGCCCCGATCTGGTTCCCGCACTGCCCGCCCTGGATGTGCAGGATCTCCCTCATGGCGGCGGCGGAGGAGGAGAAAGACGCGGCGAGGCGAGGCGAGGCTTGGGGAGCGGTGGGAGACGGAGGTCTGGAGGCGAGGGTGGAGCAGGCTCCGCGCGCGGCTGGGGACGAACGGAGGGAGCGGGTGGGTGTTGGTGTTTTACTGGGAGGAGAAGGCGTGACTTCTGAGCGTGTGCGGGTGAGGATACCGGCTGGGGAATTTGAAATTGCTTGTAGGAGGGGGCATTTATGCGGGCGGTGAGAGCGGCATTACCGGGTGCGGGGCTGTGGCTGGAGACTGGAGAGCGTGCGGGGGGCACCACCGCACTCGCGAATGTTCGTTAGTACTACCTCCGTAATTATGGGTTGTGAGTGCTTCAAATTTGATCAAATTTTTAGATAATAATATTCACATTTATAGATTTAAATTAATTTATTATGAAAATATATTTCGTAATTAATCTAATGATATTTATTTGTTATCATAAAAATAGATATTTTTTCATCTATAATTGGTCAAACTTAAAGTATTAAAATGTGAAACACTGTGCTAGAATTGTATTTTTTTTTTACGGAGGTACTATGTTTTTCTTTTTAAAAAACTATATCACCCTCTTTTTTTAGTAATAAAGACCAAAGAGTGATCTTCATTAACAGGATGTAAATCTCATTTTTCCAAGGAACTAATCAATCATAAATTGAACAATGTTTATACAAATACACAATTATATATCCAAATAGATTTATTAAATATATTTTATGATTAAGCTATTGATACTTATGACGCATTATAAATATCAATAATTTTATATGTTTGGTCATTGATTGTAACTTATTGAAAAGTGAAATCCACTTATTTTAGAGGGGGAGCGGATCATAATGTTTGGAAAAAAAATATTATTGTAATACTATGCTTTTTTTACTAAATCACTAAAAGGCCAAGGATCCATTTGTTCCAAATTTATAGTTATTTTAGTTTCGCCTTAAGTCAAACTTGTCTAATGTTTTTATCAAATTTATAAAAAATATATTAACATTCAAATTATCAAATAAATGCACTATCAAATATATTTCATGGTGTATCTAATAAAAATTATTTGATGTTGTAGATGTGTGCATTTTTCTATAAAAAAAGTAGTTAAAATTAGAGAAGTTTTCCTTTAAATACTACGAAAACGACTTGTAATTTAGAACGTGGAGTGGGATTTTTAGATCATTGGCATA